ATTGAGTTGGAGTCTCACTCTGTCGCTCAGACTGGAGTGCAGTGGCCGCTCCCGGCCACCACAGCCTCGCCTGCTGGGCTCCGGCGATCCTTCCACCTCAGCCTTCCGATTAGCTGGAACTACAGGAGCACGCTACCACGCCCAGCTAATTTTTTGATTTATTGTAGAGATGAGCTTTCGCCAAGTTGCCCAGGCAGGTCTCGAACCCGCGGGCTAAGGCAATCCACTCACTTCAGCCCCCCAAAGGCTCAGGATTACAGGCTGAGCCACCGAGCCCGGCTTGCTTCTATAAATTGAACAACTCTACATACCTCGTGTAAGTGGAATTATTTAGTACCTGTTCTTTGTAACTGGCTTATTAACATAATATCTTCAAGGTTCATCTGTGTATAGTGTATGGTCTGACCCAATAAATCAGCTGCTATCCCTTGTGGCCAATTAAAGATGAGAGGCAGAAGCTGGCAGAAAAGGGAGTGCTTAATTTCTATAATAGGTTATGGGGAGATAGGTTGACATAATTACCAAAACAAAAAAATCCCATTCTCAGCAACACATATTCATTCCAGTATTAATACCCTAAATTCATAGCCATTTACCCATCCTGAGTTTGAAGCCTATGTGCAGTTTTAAATGACTAAAGATTTATATTAACATTTTTTTAATATGTGACCACCGATGTGACACAAAATCTTCTGATCATGCTGACATTTTACGTAACATTTTGGAATTTACCATGTTTTTTTACAGTTTAGAGGAAGGGGCAGGCAGTTGCAACGTTTGGAAGGGAAAGTCACAACATTCAAAATGATAGCTTTAAATGGTTTTAAAACATAAGTGTAATCATCTCCTCTTCCCAAAGCCATGGTCTGTAATAGTGTGATGTCCTCATATTCACACATGAAGGGGAGGTGGGCAATGCCAACACCAGGCTTTCAGTCACACACCTGCCAGTCTTGGACCATTCTTTTATGTCTCCTAATTATTAGGTAGTCTAGTTGTTTTTTTTCCTTCAGCACCAGCAATGGCTTACTAGATAAAATAGGCCAGTTGGACAAGGCTGTGCTAGGAGGGGAGAAGGGGTGTGGGGGATAGGAAAAATGTGCATTTTGAATTCAAGTGGCTTCTAAATTCAGCTCAACTCAATGACAAAGGAAAGCTTCTTAATACAAGTTTTCAATTATTTTCTAAATGACTGTTCCAGTACAACCAAAATGGCCTCTTTTCAGCCTGTAAAAATAACATGTCATAATTTTCTTCTTCTTTTTTTTTTTTTCAGTTGGAGTCTCACAGCCACCCCAGCATCCGGCGATCCTTCTGCCTCAGCCTTCCAAGTAGCTGGAGCTACAAGAACACGCTACTACACCCAGCTAATTTTTGATTTACTGTAGAGACGAAGTCTCACTAAGTTCCCTGGGCTGGTCTCAAGCCCGTGGGCTCAGGCAATCCACTTGCCTTGGCCTCCCAAAGTGCTGGGATTACAGGCCGAGCCACCGAGCCCAATCCCTTCCTTTTAAGACTAAATAATATTCCATTGCATGTACACACCACATTTCGTTCATCCCTTTGACACTGTCCCAAGAAAATATAAGATTAAGGAGAAAAAATCCAACTAGGCTTGCTGTACAACCAGCAGTAATAATTAAGCCAGTTTGTCCCTTGGCCCACTTCCTTGTAGCTGGTAGCTGCTTACTACCCCAGGACGGCATAGTCCTTGTCACAACTTTTTGTTCCTTTTCTGTTCTATAGATAAAATTAAAGACATTGTGACATTGTGAGGTGATAACCTTTCCATCGGGGTTTCTCCTTTAGGTTTCTAATACCAATAAAACTACCAATGCCAGCTGGTCTGAAGGGCTCAGCCAGGAGCTGACTCATGGAAGAGTATAGTTTCTGCATCCTGATCATTTCATCCCCCTTACCCCAACCAATCAACAAGCCCAATTTTCCAGCCCCTCACCCTCTACAACCCTCCTAAAAGACCCTTGACCAGAACTCCTTGAGGAAACAGATTTGTTGCTTGATTATTCGTTTCCTCACTTAGTGGTCTTTTTTTTTTTTTTTTTTTTTTGAGTTGGAGTCTCACTCTGTTGCCCAGACTGGAGTGCAGTGGCATGCTCACGGCCACCACAGCCTCGACCTGCTGGGCTCTGGTGATCCTTCTGCCTCAGCCTTCCAAGTAGCCAGAACCATAGGTGCATGCTACCATGCCCAGCTAATATTTGATTTATTGTAGAGATGAGGTCTCACCAAGTTGCCCAGGCGGATCTTGAACCCGCAGGCTCAGGCAATCCACTCACCTCGACCTCCCAAAGCACTGGGATTACAGGCTGAGCCACCGAGCCTGGCCTGGTGGTCTTATTAAACTCCTTTGCAGCAAACCACATTGTTCATCCACAGGAAAACATTTGGGCTGTTTCCACCTGTTGGCTAGAGTAATGCAGCTATAAACACAGGTATCTCTTTGATTCTTTAGGATATACACCCAGATGTGGAACTGCTAAATCATACAGCAATTCTACATTTTTTTAAAGTTGGGGGTCTCACTCACTGTCACCTAGGCTAGAGTGCAGTGGCACAATCACAGTTCACTGCAGCGTCAAACTCCTGGGCTCAGGCAGGCCTTCTGCCTCAGTCTCCTTAGTAGCTGGGACCACAGGTACATGCCAGCATGCTCGGGTAATTTTTTGATATTTTGTAGAGATGAAGTCTTGCTATGTTGCCCAGGCTCGTCTCAAAGCTCCCGGGCAATCCTCCCACTTCAGTCTCCCAAAGTGCTGAGATTACAGGCATGAGCCACTGCATTCGGCTGGCAATTCTATTTTTGATTTTTTTAGGCACAACTATGTTATGCAAAGTGTCTTTTAACAAGCACTCCATGATTCTGATGCATGCTAAAGTTTGAGAACCACTATCCTAGAATATGGTCTTTATTTTCAGGGTGAAGATTGATGGAAGTCCATGTCCATGTCCCAATCCATGAAGCAGGAAAGAGAGAAAGCAGAAGCAAGCAATATTCTTTTAAGTAACATAGAAGTTACTTAACTTATTTCCACTGACATTCCATTGGCAAGAACTTAATCTCACGACCACGTTTCACGGCAAGAGTATCAAAGCTAAAATGTATTACTGCGGATGAAGATAAATGGATTTTGGGGGACAAAAATGGTCTGCCAGGAGACTCCTGCTCCTATATTCCTAATATTGGTTGTGGTACCACCATCCTCCCAGGAATTTACTATCAGAAATCTGGGGATCATCACTGACACCATCTTCTCCTAACCCCATATCTAATCATTAGGTACTTCTACATCTGGTGGTTCTACCTTTTTTTTTCTTTTTGAGTAGGAGTTTCACTGTTGCCCAGGCTAGAGTACAGTGGCATCCTCACGGTCACCGCAGCCTCAACCTGCTGGGCTCAAGCAATCCTTCCACCTCAGCCTTCCAAGTAGCTGGAACTACAGGTGTGTGCCACTACCCCCGGTTAATTTTCTTTTTTTTTTTTTTTTTTTAGTTGGATTCTCACTCTGTTGCCCAGGCTGGAGTGCAGTGGCATGCTCCCAGTCAGTGCAACTTTGACCTGCTGGGCTCAGGTGATCCTTCCGTCTCAGCCTTCCAAGTAGCTGGAACGACAGGTATGTGGCACCATGCCCAGCTAATTTTTTTTATTTATTGTAGAGATGAGGTCTCACCAAGTGGCCCAGGCTGGTCTCAAACCCATGGACTCAGGCAATCTTCTCACCTCAGCCTCCCAAAGTTCTGGGATTACAGGCGTGAGTTACCGTGCCTGCTCAAAATACTAATTTTATGACTGAAAAAGTGGCTAAGGTTTTTGTTCATTTTTGAACTCTCTTTTTTGTAACAAATGGAAACAAGTACACAATTCAAGAAAGGGGAACAGATTGAGGCTATTATGGCTTTCAAAACGGACAGAACATTTTAGCTGATACCAAAGAAGTGCCACCCCATAACCAAGAGTCCACTGTATCCGACAGATATATACACCCTTCAGCAAATGCAACCAAGGGCGAGTGAAGAGTTAAGTTGTATCCTCTAACGATCCCGATCAGCACACTCCTGCTGCATCTGAAGCAATTAGCAAACACGTAGTAGTTGCTAATATTTGTAAGTAAATGCCTCTGGTATCCCATCCCTAAAGACAGTAGCATGAAACAGATATTCAAAAGGCTACAGGGGACGGGCAGGTGATACACATGAGTAAAAGAGTCATTGAGGGCCTGTCATATGGGAGGGTACATAACCCATCTCCAGGTTCGTTTTCTTAACGTCTTCATATAACGATCTCCCCAGCGTCCTGTTCTATCCCAACAAAATATAAAACACTTTCCTCCTGTCTCCCTTCAGTTACGCCAGTCTTTAGTTCACTGGGGATAGCTAAGTCGTGTCCAAGGTACAATCCCAAAGCGAAACTGCCCAGAATTGACCTCATTTTAACACTTATTCCAGCAGTAAACATCTCCTCTCTAAATTCGGCTTTTGTAGACTTTACCACGAAGCTTCAGCGCGACGTTTGCCAGGAGCTCTGTTTCAAGAAGCTGCCCTCCCGTCCCGCAACACAAACGACCGCCGGGAGGCCAGGCGGCCCGCCGGCTTTAGTCTGCCTTCGGCAGGAGAGTGGAAACGCCGAAGGCAAGCGTTCCTAAGAGGGGTGGGAGGAGGTAGGAGAAAGATGGAGAGCCAAAGCACCCCCAGGTCAGGACCTGCCGAGGAGAAGCCGGTCCCCAGTCACCCTTCTCGGCCGGAGTTCGCGCGGGAACACAGCGTCGCGAGGAGAAACACCCCAGAGGCCGGGAAAAGGCTGACGTAGCGGCTGACGCTCCGCATAGGCAAGACGCCGCGGGAGACTGATTGTCACCGCAGGGCCTAGCGAGAGGGGCGGGGCGGAGCGGTCGCTCAAAGCGCTTGCGCAGAGAGCCGATTTCCTGGGCCCCCGTTGGGAGCAAAACGTAACGCCGAGCGCCCGAGGCCCACCGTGTGCGCAGGCGCACTCAGCGATCTCCGGCTTCACAGAGCACAGCTTCCCGCGCAGGCCTAGGGGCGGGGCCTCGGGGGCGGGGTCCAGGGGCAGGGCTAAATGCAGAGGGAAGGTGGGCCTTTCACTCGCGCACCGCCGCTACTGTCGCCGTCGGCTGTTCTGACCTACGAAAGTCATGTTACCCAACACCGGGTAAGGGGTCGGGAGTGTCGCGGGGAGAGACCCGGCCGGGCAGAGTGCACATTTTGGTGGGACAGCGGTGGATCTCCTGGGCTGGCTCTGGCCGGGCGGTGGGAGGGTCAGTGAAGCTGCAGGAGTGCGCTCTGAACTCTGGTCCGCGCTGGACCCTGTGCACCTAGAACGTTCAGGAACGCGTGAAAAGTAACCCAAAGTTTTGCATTACAGAGTGGCAGCAGTATAAAAGATTCTGGCACAGGTAAAGTGTCGAGAGTGGGTTCCCCTACCGCCCCCAGTGCTGGCCCTACCTTGAGGTTTGCGATAGCTGCGTGACAAGCTGAATGTGTGGCAAGTTCTAGGTGAAAGGTGACTGGAACAGCCCGTGAGCTTAAGGAGTTTCCACTTATTCGGAGCTCTCAATTCTAGAATAATTACACAGTGGGCTGTTTAACAAGTGATTTCCCAAGTAACAACAAATTAAACTGATCTTAAAATATGAATATGTTTAGGGAGTTTTTTTCACCCTAAAAAGATGTGACAGACCGGGTGCGGTGGCACAGCCTGTAATCCCAGCACTTTGGGAGACCGAGGAGGGAGGATTGCCGGAGCCCAGGGATTCGAGACCAGCCGGGATAACTTGGCGCGACCTCGTCTCTACAATAAAAATCAGAAAATTAGCCGGGTGCTGTAGCGCGCATCTGTAGTTCCAGCTAATTGGAAGGCTGAGGCGGAGGATCGCCTGAGCCCAGCTGGTCGAAGCTGGCTGTGAGCAGCTTGCCACTGCACTCCAGCCTGGGCCACCGAGTGAGACTCCAATTCAAAAAAAAAATTAAATGTACAATACGAATAAAATTTGTCATCTCAACCATTTTAAGTGTACGGTTAAAACGTGAAGTATATCCATATCGTTGAGCAATAGAACTCCAGAACTTTTCATCTGCAAAATGGAAACGGTACCAGCTTTAAACAACTCCCCATTTCCCCCTCTCCCCAGGCCCTGGCAACCTTCATTCTTCTTTCTGTTTATGTAAAGTATGGGTGTCTTGAGCTAAGTGACATGTTGCCAAATTTAGTATTTGCAACATACAGGCACATAGACTTAAGACAGTTCAAAAGGGTGTAAGGTAAAATGTGAGTCTCCCCATCCTTAAAATCCAGTCCCACTGTTACTCTGTGGTACTTTTGCATTCTATCCATTTATAAACATACTTTATATACCACCCAAACATATCATCTTAAAAAAATATTAACAAACTCTGTTCTTGGCCATGCTACTTTTGCTTATTATGTCTTGGGGGTATACCTTTTTCTTTTCTTTTCTTTTTTTTTTTTTGAGTCAGAGTCTCACTCTGTCACCCAGGCTAGAGTGCAGTGGTACACTCACAGCCACGGCAACCTCGACCTGCTGGGCTCTGGCTATCCTTCTGCCTTAACCTTCCAAGTAGCTGGAACTACAGGCACTTGCCACCACACTCGGCTAATTTTTTGATTTATTGTAGAGATGAGGTCTTGCCAAGTTGCCCAGGCTGGTCTTGAACCCGTGGGTTCAGGCAATCCTCTTACCTTGGCCTTCCAAAGTGCTGGTATTATAGGTGTGAGCCATGGCACCTGGCTCCTCGTTCTTTTTTTTTAAAGATGGGGTTTCCTAGGTTGCCCAGGCTGGCCTCTAGCCTCCAACTCCTGGGCTCAAACAATCCTTTCTCCTCAGCTTCTGGAATAGCTGAGAATACAGGTGCACCACCCCATCCAGGGACACACATTTTTAGTACATGTAGCTCTTCCTCTTCCTTTTTAATGCTTGCATAATATTCCATTTACAGCTTTAGTATATATTATCTGAAATGATTGGGACCAACCATGTTTTGATTTCAGATTTTTGGATTTGGGATGCTCAATCTGTATATGGATTATACCCTTATTTTTTAACCTGTTCCCTATTGTTCGATATCAGATTACTTTCACTTTTTTTTTTTTTTGAGTTGGAGTCTCACTCAGTTGCCCAGACTGGAGTGCAGTGGCCGCTCCCAGCCACGGCAACCTCGCCTGCTGGGCTCCGGCGATCCTTCCGCCTCAGCCTTCCAAGTAGCCGGAGTTACAGGCATGCGCTACCACACCTGGTTGATTTTTTGATTTATTGTAGAGATGAGGTCTCGCACCCCAGGCGAGTCTCGAACCCGTGGGCTCAGGCAGTCCACTCACCTCAGCCTCCCAAAGGCATGAGATTACAGGCTGAGCCACCGAGCCTGGCTTACTTTCACTTTTTTTTTGTTTAGGTTTGCTTCCAGAATTATACTTGCATGTTTGTGTTTGCACAAATGAGAATGTATCTGAGGGTGAATTTCTGTAAGTGAAAATGCTGGATCAAAAAGTATATTCACTTTACACTCCAAAAGGGTTATACACCAGAAGGATGAATGAGATTTCATAATCCAACATATTGGGAAACAGCAAAATATTTGGTAATAAAAAAATCTAATTAGAGAAAAAAGTGGTACCTCATCATAGTTAAAGTGGAAGAAGTCCTCTCTATATATGTAAACCAGGGGCAATTTGACTCCCAGAAGACATTTGGCAGTATCTGAGAACATTTTTGATTATCACAATTGAATGAAGATGCTAACGGTACCTAGTGAACACAGTCCAGCTATGCTGGTAAACATTCTATGATAATTATCAAATCCAAAATGTTGATAGTGCATACATTGAGAAACCTTGGCTTAAAGCCGTCTGTGTACCTTTTTTATTTGCCTGGCTTAAACAATGAGTTGGTTTTTTTTTTCCTCCTCAGCCTTCCAAGTATCTGAGACTATAGACACACTGGCACAGCCAACTAATTTTTTTGTTTTTGTAGAGATGAGGTCTCGTGGTGTTGCCCAGGCTTTTTTTTTTTTTTGAGTTGGAGTCTCACTGTCTCCCAACCTGGAGTGCAGTGGGCATGCTTTTGACCACCGCAGCCTTAACCTGCTGGGCTCAGGTGATCCTTCTGCTTTAGCCTTCCAAGTGGCTAGAAATACAGGCATGTGCCACCATACTCTGCTGATTTTTTGATTTATTGTAGAAACAAGGTCTTACCATGTTGCCTAGGCTGGTCTCGAACCCGTGGGCTCAGACAATCTTCTCGCCTCTGCCTCCCAAAGTGCTGGGATTATAGGTGTGAGCCACTGTGCCTGGCACCCAGGCTTGTGTCCAACTTCTGGGCACAAGCCGTCTTCCCACCTTGGCCTTCCACAGTGCTGGGATTTTAGGCATGAGCCACCGTGCTCAGCCTAACAATGAGATTTTTGGGTTTTTTTTTATTGATCTCTGAGGCTTCTGTATGTTTTTAAAATTTGTCCTTTATTATGTGTTAAAAATGTTTTTTCACAGTTTCTAGTTTTGTATCTTTATTTGCTTATATTATTTGTTTACCATAAGAAATGTGTTTTTATGAATCAAGAGTTATCAATCTGCTGGGCTTGATGGCTCAGCCTGTAATCCCAGCATTTTAGGAGGCCGAGGTGAGTAGACTGCCTGAACCCACGGGTTCAAGACCAGCCCGAGCAATTTGGTGAGCCCTTGTTTAAATAAAAAAATTAGCTGGGCTTGGTAGTGCATGCCTGTAGTTCTGGCTACTTGGAAGGCTGAGGCGGAAGGATCACCAGAGTCCAGCAGGTCGACGATGGGGTGGCTGTGAGTGTGCCATTGCACTCTAACCCGGGTGACAGAGTGAGACTCCAACTCAAGAAAAAAAAAGAGTTATCAATCTTTTAAGGCTTTTGTGTTTTTTTTGTGATTAGCCTGTAAATCCATCTTAAACCAACATCTTTTTTTCAAAACTGGTATTCTTATATTTGGTCTTACATTTTTATGATATATTTATAGTTTATGGTCTTATACTTTTATAATATATTTATATTTTATATGTTTTTTGCACTCAGATTTTTTATCCACTTGAGATTTATGTTGTGACAGGAAGTTAGTTAGGAAGCCCACTTGATTTTGGTTCAGATGTCTGTCCTGTTGCCACAGCAGCATTGATCTAATAGTTAATCCTTTCCCTTCTATTAGAAATGCCATCTCTATTGTACAATAAGTTGTTGTATGCATAGAGATCTGTCTCTGGACCTTCTGTTCTGCTACTTTGGTCTGTCTGTTTATGCATCAGTACCAAACTGTTTTAACTGCTCTATGTTTATAAAATATTTTAATATCTGGGAAGGCTAGTTCCTACCTCATTTGGATTATTTTTCAAAACTTTCCTGGTTTTTCTTAGGTGTTAATTTTTCCAAATTATCTTTAAAATAGTTTGTATAGTTTTAAAAAATAATTTTTTTTCCTTTTAAAAATAATTAACAAAAATTGTATCATGTTTACCTAATTTTTAAGGTATTGGAGAGTTTTGGTAGCTTTAAGTGTAAGTTAGCTCTGCATTGGTAAGTTTTAGCCATGTATTAATAGTACTGAGAAATTTGGACTCATTCTTTGAAGTGCCATTGCCTTTTGTATTCTGGTACTAATGCTTTGGAGCTAAAGGATTTCTTTAGTAATACGGATCAGGGCTACCATTGCCTTTTTTTCTGCCAGTGCCAGAAACTGAATAAGAAAGAAACTGCCCTTTATCCTACTGGGAATCTATCCAACTAGACCCAAGGTGAAAGGATGGGGCTTTTGAAAGCAATAGTTAGGGCTGAGCACAGTGACTCAACCTGTAATCCCAGTACTTTGGGAGACCGAAGCGAGAGGATTACCTGAGTCCAAGGGTTGGAGACCAGCCTGGGCAACTTGGCAAGACCTTGTCTCTACAGTAAATAAAAATTAGCCAGGCATGGTGGCACTCAAGCCTGGGTGACAGAATGAGACTCCAACTCAAAAAAAAAAAAAAAAAGGAAAGCAATAGTTGGGACATTTTTAAAATAAGTACTTAAAAAATCACTTTAATAGTCTATGTATACTACCTTTTGTGTAAAAAAGAAGGGAAAATTATACACACACATAGAGTATGTTTCATATATAGGAATATGTGTATGTGTATCTTTTTGAAAGAAATACAAAAATGATAAACCAGCAATTTTTTTTTTTTGACTTGGAGTCTCACTCTGTCACCCAGGCTGGAGGGCAGTGGCACGCTCCTGGCCACCGCAGCCTCCACCTGCTGGGCTCAGGTGATCCTTCCACCTCAGCCTTCCAAGTAGCTAGAACTACAAGCACGTGTCACCATGCCCGGCTAGATAAACCAGAAATTAATGAAGCTGATGACCTACTGGTAAGAGGTCGGACTTCTTTGAATGTACATGTTTTTATATTATTTTGATTTGAATGATGTACATGTTTTGTAACATTCCTCACCAAAGATGAGGGGACAGAAAAAGTAAAATTGAATACCAACATAAACAAATGAACTTAACTATATATTAAACTTATCACATAAACACACAGAGAAAAATAACTAATTCAAGTAATTTTTTTTTTTAGTCAGATTCACTCTGTCCTCCAGGCTGGAGGACAGTGGCATGCTCACGGCTACTGCAGCCTTGACTTGCCGGGCTCAGGTGATTCTTCTTCCTCAGCCTTGCAAGTAGATGGAACTATAGGCATGCCACCACACCAGGTTAATTTTTTTATGTATTGTAGAGATGAGGTCTCACCATGTTGCCCAGCTCCAAGTAATTAAATAACATAGTAATTTGCACACCTTTAGAGTGATTTATTCTAAAGACAAAAGCAAGTTCAAAGAAATATTCAACTTTACTTAGTAGATTTATTGGTATTGGTATTAGTGTAGTAATTTAGACACTACTGTGTCTTAAGGAATATACGTACTTTTTGTTGCTCTGCCTCTTTAACAGAAGAAAAGATGAGATCCTTACTCTCTCTTGCCATGGATGAGAGCATGTTACTAGGTTTTGGAAAGTCTTTTTATGTTTCTTTTTTTTTTTTGAGTTGGAGTCTCACTCTGTCACCCAGACTGGAGGACAGTGGCACACTCCCAGCCACCACAGCCTCGACCTGCTGGGCTCTGGCAACCCTTCCACCTCAGCCTTCCAAGTAGATGGAACTACAGGTGCTCGCTACCACGGCTGGCTAATTTTTTTGATTTATTGTAGAGATGAGGTCTTGCCAAGTTGCCTAGGCGGGTCTCGAACCTGCAGGCTCAGGCAATCCACTCACCTCAGCCTCCCAAGGCTCAGGATTACAGGCTGAGCCATGAAGCCCGGCCTCTTTTTTTTTTAGATAAGAAAATACAGTTTATTTAGAAAGTAAATTAGAGAGAGAGAGAGAGAGAGAGCGAGCAGATTCACCTCCCCCAAGGTAGGGTAGGGGGCCAAAACTTAAGAAAGCATGGCCTAGCCATAGCTCAAACAGCACATGGCCACACCATAGCTTAACAAGGCAATGGCCACAATGGCCTGGCAATGTCCTCTTTTTAAAATTTCTTTTTTTTTTTTTGAGTTGGAGTCTCACTCTGTCGCCCAGACTGGAGTGCAGTGGCTGCTCCCGGCCACCGCAGCCTCGACCTGCTGGGCTCTGGCGATCCTTCCACCTCAGCCTTCCAAGTACCTGGAACTACAGGTGCGCGCTACTACGCCCGGCTAGTTTTTTTTTAATTTACTGTAGAGATGAGGTCTCGCCAAGTTGCCCAGGCGGGTCTCGAACCCACGGGTTCAGTCAGTCCACTCACCTCAGTCTCCCAAAGGCGTGGGATTACAGGCCGAGCCACGGAGCCCAGCTGATTTTTGATTTATTGTAAAGAAGAGGTCTCACCAAGTTGCCCAGGCGGGTCTCGAACCCGCGGGCTCAGGCAATCCACTCACCTCGGCTTCCCAAGGCACGGGATTACAGGCTGAGCCACCGAGCCCGGCTAAAATTTCTTAACCTAGCCCACAGGTCCTTGTTATTTCTCTTCCAGAAAACCATGTCAGCAAAACTGTCAAGGTCTAGGATTTCTATTTAGCAAGTGTTTAACCTCAAAATTTTAGCATCTGTATATGAGTTACCCATGTCTAAAGTGTATGAATTTTTATCAGTCTTCCACATAATAAAAAGACCTAGAAATGCTAAATTCCAGTCATTCCATTTTTAACTTATGTTATTGTGGACAATATATTTACATTCTATCTAACCCCACAAGCATTATTTTATTATTACTGTTTTTAGATTTCTATGCTTACCAGTATCTTTAGTTTTTATGTTTTCTTGCATCTCAGACCTTCCATCTGGGAACACTTTTCTTCTGACTGAAGTATAAACTTTTAGTAAATAAGACATAATAAAGAAAAAGTATGTGGATTGGAGTGAAATAAATAATGCTGTCATTATTTGCAGATGATGTGATTACCCTGCACAGAAGACCAAATAATGTAAACTAAATTATTAAAATTTATAAAATTTGACAAAGTTGTGGGATATAAAAGTCAATGAATAAAAATAATTTAGATTTGCACATAAGCAAAAATCTGCAAGAAATATATTACATAGCAATGAAAATGAGAAATTTAAAAATCCCAAATATGGCCTCTACTACAGTACATATGGTCTATATTCTTCAGCAAATAAATGGCACAGAGAATGGAAGGGACAGGTTAAAAGAGTGAATGATAAGATATAAGAACTCACACTTTATAATTCTAGCACTTTGGGCTAGGAGGATTGCTTGAGGCCAGGAGTTGGAGACCAGCTTGGACAACATAGTGAGATCCTGTCTCTACAAAAAATTTAAAATATTGATCGGGTGTGGTGACACATGCCTGTAATCTCAGCTACTAGGGAGGTTGAAGCAGGAGGATTGCTTGAGCCCAGGAATCAATGCTATAGTGAGCTATGATCATGCCACTGCACTCCAGCCTGGGCGACAATGTGAAACCCTGTCAAAATTTAAAAAACAAACATGAGAGGTGAAGGTGAGAGAATTGCCTGAGTCTACAGGTTCGAGACCAGCCTGGGCAACATGGCGAGACCACGTCTCTACGTCTCTACAATAAATCAAAAAAATTAGCTGGGTGTGGCGGCACACGCCTGATGTTCCAGCTACTTGGAAGGCTGAGGTAGAAGGATCACCTAAGGCCGGCAGGTCGAGGCTGCAGTGGCCAAGATTGTGCCACTGCACTCCAGCCTGGGTAACAACAGAGTGTGACTCTGACTCAAAAAACAAACAAATAAAAACAAGAGGTGATTTACCTGCCCAAGGTAGGGGAGGGGGCCAGAGCTTAAGAAAACATGGCTTGGCCATAGCTCAAAGAGCACATGGCTTCACAATAGCTTAGCAAGGCGATGGCAGCAATGGTCTGGCAATAGCCTCCTTCTTTCTTACCAAATCAGTTACTCCTTATTTTAAAACCACTTACTCAACTTTTACCTCTGCTGTCTTACTTCTGGGGTATAATCCTCTGGGTCTTGCAAGATCTTATACTTTTTTATTAACAAGCCTGCTTATCTATTGCCAGTCTCAGGTTACTGTTCCCTTTTCTCTTTGTCATTGTCATTTGTGCTGTTCTCGGTTTATAATTTATTTTAGATGTTGCAACTAAGTAGAAAGTATAAAGTTAGGATGGAAGTTTGTAAAGAATGAAATGGGCATAGGGGACATTTGAATTAGAATATTTTGGGATCAATCCTCACTCAACTCTTTGTGAGCTTTCTATGTTTGCTTAACAGCTCTGTTGAGATGTAGCTCACACACCACACAATTCTCCCACATAAGATACACAATTTGGTGACTTTTAGTACATTCACAGAGCTGTGTAACTCCCACCACAATCAGTATTAAAACTTTTTCATCATCTCAAGAAGAAATCCCTTACCCTTCAGTTATCAGCTCCCAGCCCCTCCCACCCCCAGTTCTAGGTAACCTCTGATCTTTGCATCTCTATAGATTTGTCTATTCTGAACATTTCCTATAAATGGAATTATACAGTATGTGGTCCTTTGTGACTGGCGTCTTTCTCCTAGCAAAATGTTTTTTTTTCATCCATATTGTAGCAAATATCAGCACTTTATTAACTTTTATTGCTGAGCATTATTTCACCGTGTAGCTAAAGACATTCTGTTTATCCATTTATCAGTTGATGAACATTTGGGTTGTTTCTACTCCGGCTATTATGATCATCTATTTAACTATTACTTTTAAGCAGTATGTAGTCTTCGTAGAAAATTGGAAAACTACTAAAGGATATGACAAAATGTATGCATAATCTCACCACTGAAAATTAGCCTTAATACTCTTTCTGTGGGAAAAAACATATTTTTATAGCTTATTTTATAATTCCTCATCTTTCTTTAAGATATGCTTTGCATTTGAGATTTTATTTGCCAAATTACAGCAAGACTAGACAATTGAAATTGTCATAAATAATTTATAAGTCATTGTATAATGGGCATACAGTGGAGTTGTCAGCTATCAGATGGGCACAGGGAGAGCTAAGAGAAAATTTCGCAGAGGTGGAACCATGTATATTATGAAAATATGCATGAGCTGTTGATACTAGTCCATAAATAAAATATTGAGTTTTCTAATAAGATCCCATTTGTTCTGTTGTAGGAAGCTAGCAGGGTGTACAGTTTTTGTCACAGGTGCAAGCCGTGGCATTGGCAAAGCTATTGCATTGAAAGCAGCAAAGGATGGAGCAAATATTGTCATTGCTGCGAAGACTGCCCAGGCACACCCAAAGCTTCCAGGCACAATCTATACTGCTGCTGAAGAAAGTGAGTGTGACAATGCCATTTCATGAAATATACTCTCAATGGTTTCAGTACATAGGAAATTTGCTGGAGAGTTTAGTTATGGCTATTTGAAAACTACCCTAATGCTAATGTTCTCTAGTTAAAGAAGTATTTACTTTGTTACCTTAGCGCTTCTGACCACTTTTCTCCTTCAACACTTTTTTTTTTAAGTTTTAATTTTAAAGATGTGGGGTGCAATTCGGGGTTAGGTATACAAATGTTCATTATGCAGGTACTCTTGTTGATGAGGTGTGCCCCCCCCCTTCCCCAGGCATATTCCCACTACTACCAGTACTGCTTCCCCACCCTCTCCTAGCAGTTTCCCGCTACTGCCAATCCTTTTCTTATGGTATTATGATAATTGTTCAAGATCCACTTTCCTTCAACACTTTTAAGCAATATGAGAGACTCCAATTAAAAATGATGTCTCAGAGCCAGATGTAGTGGCTCATGCTAATCTTAGCACTTTGGGAGGCCAAGGTGAGAGGATTGCTTGAGCCCATGGTTGGAAACCAGCCTGGGCAACTTGGTAAGAACTCCTCTCTTCAATAAGTCAAAAAATTAGCCAGGTGAGGTAGTGCGCGCCTGTGTTTCCAGCTATTTGGAAGGGTGAGGTGGAAGGATCACTTGAGCCAGTCTAGGTTGTGGTGGCCGTGAGCGTGCCACTGCACTCCAGCCTGGCTGACAGAGTGAGACTCCAACACACACACACACACACACACACACACACACACACACACACACACACATGTCTCAGAAACACACACACACACACACACACACACACACGTCTCAGGAAGGTAATGGTTTTTGGATGGGACCAGAAGATGGGGGAGTGGAAGTGGAGATAATTTAAGGGGTGGATGGTGTGAACACTCTGAAAAAGCTCACCATGTTACTTATTCTTTACATAATTGGCAAGACAAACTTTTTTTTGAGTGGAATCTCACTGAGTCACCCAGGCTGGAGAGCAGTGGCATACTCACAGCCACTGCAGCCTTGACCTACTAGACTCAGGCCATCTTTCCATCTCAGCCTTCCTAGGAGCTGGAACTACAGGTTTGTACCACCATGCCTGGCTAATTTTTCTTGATTTATTGTAGAGACGAGGTCTCGCCACCTTGTCCAGGCTGGGCTTGAACCCCTGGGCTCAGGCAGTCCTCTCGCCTCAGTCTTCCAAAGTACTAGAATTACAGGCGTGAGCCACTGTGCCCGCAGCAGGTCATTCTTTTAATACGTTTAATCGACAAATAATTATCATGTTCATATATACAAGGCATTGTCCTAGGCACATTGCCAGGAGGAAGGCCGTCAACATTCAACTTGAGTTGATATTGCTAGCAGCATTGTGGTTATGTTAAAGGAATGTGTATGAAGTGCTTATGAGTGAAATGATGCCAGGAATTTGTTTTAAAATACACCTGTGGGCAACCTCTTCAGGTCCCCTCCCTCTCAATAAATCCTACTTTCAAAAAAAAGAAGTAAGAAAGAAAAATACACCAGCAAAAAATACAACAGAAGAGAGGAAGATAAACAAATTAACTGACCAAACAGTAACAGTTACTGAAGATAAGTGATGGATTCTTAATAGTTTATTATACTTTAAAAAATATTTTTGTATATTTTTTGAAATGTTCCATAATATAAAATTTTCAAAATTACCCTCCTTTGTTTGCTTTTTGATATATATATATTTAAAACCCTTTCTCTTATTTTTTTGAGTTGCAGCCTTGACCTGCTGGGCTCAGGCGATCCTTCCGCCTCAGCCTTCCAAGTAGCTGGAACTACAGGCATGCACTACTACACCCAGATAATTTTTTGATTTATTGTAGATACGAGGTCTTGCCACATTGCTCAGCCTGGTCTTGAACTTGTGGGTTTAGGCAATCCTTTCGCCTCCACCTCCCAAAGTGCTGGGATTCAGGTGTGAGCTACCATGCCCAGCCTCTTTTGTTTTGTTTTTGAGTTGAAATCTCACTCGGTTGCTCAGGCTGGAGTGCCGTGGCACACTCACCGCCACCCCAGTGACAACCTGCTGGGCTCCAGCAATCCTTCCGCCTCAGCCTTCCAAGTAGCCAGCACTACGGGCACGCGCTACCACACTTGGCTATTTTTTGCTTTATTGTAGAGACAAGGTCTTGCCAAGGTGTCAGGGCTAGTCTTGAACCCCTGGGCTCAGGCAATCCACTCTCCTCGGCCTCCCAAAGTGCTGGGATTATAGGCTGAGCCACTGTGCCTGGCCTCTTTTTTGTTTTTTAATAGAGTTGTCCTAGCTGGTCTGTTCTGTATGGTAGAGTCACTAGTGGTAAGACATAGTTATATTGATTTTCTGAAAATAGAGTACTTTTTTCTTTTAACTGTTATATCAGAATAAAAGGTATACTATTTGAATGCTTTACTGCTTTTTTGTTTATCCTTTGTAGTTGAAGCAGTTGGAGGAAAGGCCTTGCCTTGCATTGTTGATGTGAGAGATGAACAGCAAATCACTGATGCAGTAGAGAAAGCAGTTGAGAAGTTTGGAGGTAGTACCTTAATTCTGAAATAATTATTGTACACTGGTAAAATATAAGTAACTATGACTTTAATTTTTAAATTTGCTTTGATTTTTGGATTTTTGTATCTTTGGAACATACTGAGAAACAAGTATTTGCTCATATAAAAACATGGCTTAAAACCATCTGATGACTTTTTTTTAAAAAATGTTAAAAATTATTTTGAATAATGTAACAAACTAACTACCCAAATTAATGTTAGCACTTTGACAATGGTGTACATCTGACCAAGTGGCTCCCCAGATCCACTTGCCTCTCCCTTAAATAAACATTATTTGATGACTTTTTGATATTTATTAGGTAAAATGCAGATACCCATTGGCATTCAAGATGTTTCACATTCTGAAACAGATTTTTTTGTTTCATCTTTCTTCTATACCTCTACATAAACTCCTTACTCCAGCCTAAATAATTTACTTCTATCTTGTTTAATAGTTTGCCTCTTAACTTTTTTCTTTTCCCCTTCCTGAGGCTCTTTGGTACCCACCTCTCCACTTTTTTTTTTTTTTTTTTTTTTTGAGACAGGGCCTTGTTCTGTTGCCGAGGCTGGAGTTTGGTGGTGCAATCAAAGCTCACTGCAGACTTGGACTCACGGCTGAAGCCCAGGAGAATTTGCCCCTATTTAACTTTCCATCTTGAATTCTAGCTGTGTTGTCCTGCCTGGTTTATCAGAAAGAGCTATACGTTACGTACTGCATGACAGCACAGCCAAATAATGCCAGAATGGGTAGCACATCTACTTTGTAGTCTTGGGCTCCTACAGAAAAATAGAAATCTCCCAAATGAATTTTTCCTCCTGTTGTTGAACTGAGTTTTCTGAGAACTTAAAAGGCCCAACTAGAAATTTTCCCTCTCTTGGAAAAATTAAAGGCTAGAATTCTTTCCTTTCCAGTTTTCTTATTCTACTTGATTCCTGCCAAAGAGCTTTCACTCAGATGCATGGGTGATCTGGGTTTCTTTTGTAGCCACTATAATTTCATCTCCCATTGGCCTTGGTATCATTCCTTCAGCGTCTTCAACATTGGATTAATTTAACTTTGCCTGTTGCATGATCTACTTTCCCAGGAGCAGAGAAAATGGAAGAGACAAAAGAAAATCTTATCTTTTGTTTCTTCAAATGCCAGTTGGTTCATCTCGTTGATCTGGCATTTATGACCCAGAAACTTAAATTCACTTGGTAGAAGAGGATACTCTTCCCATATCTTTGAGGGGGAAAATCTCTGTATATATTTTACTGCTTGTTGAGAGGGTCATCTGAAACACTCATATTTTCTTGCTAAATTTACAAGTTATGTAATAGTGGAGTTCTCTGTTTTTAAGGGTTTTTTTGCTCCTCTTTATATTCACTTTGTATTTCTGACTTTTTGCTTTTCATTTCCCCATTAACTTTCCTGGCACCTCAGTACAAAATTCAGAGTGAGTTCTGTTTAGCAACTCAGTCTCTACTATCTCCTAATCATGATGGAAGCCACATTTATAAGAGATGATTTATAGTCTGTTCTTTTTTTTTTTTTTTTTTCCTATATTCCTTTTCCACAGAGATCCGAGCCTTTATTTTTTGTCTGTGGTTGCTGCTGCTATGGCCGTCTGATTTGGAATTCTGTGGGTCTTTGAATTCTGCCTTTTTGGGAAGATTTTATCTTTGACCTGATATTTGTCTCTGCTGGAAAATTGTCTTTGACAGTGTCCTGAGCACTTGATGATGCTTTCAAACCTGTACTCTCAGGGTTCTTTCCCACATGGTACTCCCTATCACCTTGTCTTGACTCACCTTCACACTTTTTCGATCCTTGAGTACATTTTGCTATTTCAAAAACCATGGAAGCATTCTTTTCTGCCACTTTTTTTTCTACAGTGGGCACATATATGCCTTTGTGTATCATTGCCCACTATTGTTCCCTGATCCATTTTAATCAGACTCATCTGAGTTTTGAAATTTTAACCTGCTTCTTAAATTGGGTTCTCTTTTCCCCTCTGTTGTGGCTAAGTCAAATAGAGTTTGCCAAATCAGCATATTTTTATTTCTCGCTGATTTCTTTGCCTTCAGGCCCAGATGTTTCCTTCACTAACATAATTGTCACTTGTTATACCATAGTGAGAGAGATGAAGTCAATAAAATCTGGATTTGCCCAAGGCAAAAGATGTTCATCCCAACAGTCTAACCCCAGAAGTAGAAATTTTTATGATATTTCTACTTTGTAGAATATTAAGTGGCAGATTAAAATTTCCAAACTCAGAATATTAATTTATTTCGATTTATTTTTAATTTAAAAAATTGTGGTAAGAGATACATAACATAAAATTTATAATTCCAGCCATTTTTAAGTGTACAATTCAGTAGCATTTAGGTTCATATTGTTGAACAACCATCATTAAGTACCTTTTGAAAAGACTAATGAAGACCGTGTAGACACTGAGGGAAATGTTTGACATTGTTTTGTATTTTACCATTTTCATTTAATGTTATTCCACTAAGCATATGTTGCATATAGGTAGGAACTAGATACAATATGCAGAAATAATAGTTATTCTAGATTTAGTTTTTTTGTGTATGGGTCACTAAAACAAAATTGATCCACGTAAGTGATTTGCCTGGGATTAAAACTTTAGGTCTTTCTCTTTTCTCAGTTTTCAACACCAAAAAGGAGGCCTTACCTTGAAGTGAGGGACCTTGGAGGGAAAGGAGGGCTAGTATACTTAAAAGTGGGGAAGGCCTTCAAAACATGCAGGGGAGGGTAGATGACTTTAAAGAATTTGATCGGGCAACCCCCTCTGGTCCTCTCCTACTGTGGGAGCTTTTCTGTCCTCTCAATAAATCCTACTCTCTAAAAAAAAAAAAGAATTTGATCTAAGGTTTATGGAGACAGGAAGGTAAGAAAACAGGTAAGAGTGCAAGTTACAAACCACTAAAGACTAAGCTTCCTTGTAATTTCACATGGAGCTCTGGTGATTGGCTATATCTCCATTGTGCCAGTGAAAATCATGCAGATGCTGTTTTGAAACAGCTCCCAGTCTTGCGTTGGTATATTGGTCAGTCATATTATTTAAAAGAAGAACAGTTAATGTGTTGCTTAATGGCAGGAATATGTTTAGAGAAAGGCATCATTAGGTGATTTTGTCATTGTGCAAACATCATAGAGTGTACTTACACAAACCTAAATGGTCTGGCCTCCTACATACCTAGTCTATATGGTATAGCCAATTGCTCCTAAGCTACCAACCTGTACAGCATGTTACTGTACTGCATACTGTGGGCATTTATGACACAGTGGTAAGTATTCATGTATTTGAACATATCTCAACATAGAAAAGATACAGTAAAAATACAGTATGATAATCTTATGTATGTGATCTGTCTGACTGAAATGTTATGTGATGCATGACTATATTTGTGAATCAATCAAGAGTTCAAAGATAGAATAAATGCTTTATTTTGTGATAACAAGTCTAACTTACATGAAAATGAAATTGATTATTTTGAAAACAGGAATTGATATTTTGGTAAACAATGCCAGTGCTATTAGCTTGACCAACACATTGGAAACACCTACAAAGAGAGTGGATTTGATGATGAATGTGAACACCAGAGGCACCTACCTTACGTAAGTTAGAAGAAGAGTTGTGGGAGAGGATGTTGCAGTATTTTCTCAAGGAACTTGTTTAGTTGTAAACAGATTTGAACCAAATTAACAGTGTGGCTTAAAATCTAGTCAGTCCTTATAAAAGTCTAAAAGTACTCCAAAGTCAGCCAAGAGTATTTTAAATAGTTTAATTTAATGCTTCTTTACTCTATGAGTCTAATAAAGACTAAAGTGTACCTCAAGCATTTTAAGATATTTTTGTGTTTAAATACTTCTATGTATACTGTCATCAGATATACATGCAAGTAGATCTATGTATACTTTGTCTTCTAATTACTCAAGCCAGCAGTAGTCTCTCCTTCCTCTGAAAAAAATTTGGGATTTAACAAAAGACTTGTGTTTAGTTATATAAATTAATTTAGTTATATAAATTATGAATCGCACTTTAACATAACAAGCAAAAAGCCTAATGCCGTCTTGGACATTATCAGAGGAAATGTAGAGTACAGAATTAAAGAGATTATAGTCCCAATCTGTTCAGGATTAGTCAGACAGTATACCTTTTTATTTGTCCATTTATTTATTTATCCTTGGTTTTGTCATTTTCCATGTGAATATAATGATACATCTGCATAGGACTTGCTTCCTCTGCCTTATGTGTATCTTGTTTTACACAGAAGCGGTGGTTAGGAGTAAGCTTTGGAGTAAGGTTGCCTGGACTCAAATCCTAGCATCCACCCCTCAAGACTTGCTATTTAATGACCTGGGTCAAGTAACTTAATGTCTTGCTAATCAGTTTCCTCATTTGTAAATTGGTGTTAACAATAAGATATTATAGGGTTTGTCAGAGTTAAATGCGTAAGTTCAGAGGCCTAAATTTTGCACTCAGATGTGTTTGGATCTGAAAAACCTGGCCTAGATAGTATTAAATATTTTGCTTTCATTAGTTTCCTACATTCAAAATGTCAGTAGTTGTTGCCTATGTTAAAAAAAAAATTGGAAGATTTGCACAAAAGTTCAGATTTCTGGCTTTTCTTGAAACATTTGAAAATGTGGCCACATAGAAATAGCAATCCCTGGCTGGGCTCGGTGGCTCAGCCTGTAATCCTAGCACTTTGGGAGGCCGAGGTGAGTGGATTGCCTGAGCCCATGGGTTCAAGACCAACCCAGGCAACTTGGCGAGACCTCATCTCTGCAATAAATCAAAAAAATTAGATGGTCATGGTAGCATGTGCCTGTCATTCCAGCTACTTGGAAGGCTGAGGTGAAAGGATCACCGGAGCCCAGCAGGTCGACGCTGGGGTAGCCATGAGTGTACCACTGCACTCCAGCCTGGGTGACAGAGTGAGACTCCAACTCAAAAGAAAAGAAAAGAAAAGAAATAACATTCCCACATGACAAAATTTACCATCTGTAGCCGAGTGGCAGAATATCAACTACCTCATGCCTCATTAGATGGGACATAGCTCCATTGTCTTCAGGATGCTGAGCATAGGCTAAAAAAATTATCATTTATCATTGTGCTTGCGCTGTTGTTTTTCTTATGTGAAAGAGGAAAATAAAATATTTCTCAGGCCAGGCATGGTGGCTCACGCCTATAATCTCAGCACTTTGAGAGACTGAGATGAGAGGAGTAACTGAGCCCATGGGTTCGAGAACAGCCTGGGCAACTTGGCAAGACCTCATCTCTACAATAAATCAAAAAGTTAGCTGGGCGTGGTGACACGTACCTGTAGTTCCAGGTACTTGGAAGACAGAGGCGGAAGGATCACCTGAACCCAACAGGTCAAGGCTGTGGTGGCCGTGAGCATGCCACTCCACTTCCAGCCTGGGCAATAGAGTGAGATTCTGACTTAAAAAAAAAAAATTCTCATAACCAAGTCTCTATTTGAAGTGGGAAAATAAGACTAATGCTAAGATGGCTGTATATTCAAGTAAAATGGGTGAAAACTTCTATGATGTAAGGCATATTTCTATAAATTCAATATATAAAATATATCTGTATTGAATGAAACCATATTGAATCAAACCATAGTAAAAATGTTGGCATACATATAGCAAAGATTATGATGAAAAACTTGAACAAGAAAAGGGACTCATTTTTCGATAGGGTTTATTTATTTTTAAATAAAATAGGCAATTCTTATGTGTGATACTCTTATGTGATACCTGAAAAAATTATCTGGGCACCAAAATCTTTTATTGTTTTTTTTTTGTTTGTTTGTTTTTTGTTTTTTGAGTTGGAGTCTCACTCTGTAGCCCAGACTGGAGTGCAATGGTCGCTCCCGGCCTCCGCAGCCTCGACCTGCTGGGCTCCGGCGATCCTTTCGCCTCAGCCTTCCGTGTAGCTGGAACTACAGGCGCGCGCTACCACACCCGGCTAATTTTTGATTTATTGTAGAG